CGACGACGACGACGACGACGACGACGACGACGACGACGACGACGACGACTACGACGACGACGCCGCCGCCGCCGACGCCGCCGCCGCCCTCGGCGACGACAACGACGACGAGAACGACGACACCGCCGCCGCCGCCGCAGCCGCCGACCTCGACGACAACGACGATGACGACGACGGCGACGATGACCACGACGACGACGACGACGACGACGATGACGACGACGGCGGCGACGACGACGACGACGACGACCTCGACCTCGACGACGACGACGACGACGACGACGACGACGACGACGACGACGAAGACGACGACGACGACGACGACGACGACGACGACGACGACGACGACGACGACGACGACGACGACCGACGACCACGACGACGCTTCGGTGGTCCCTTTTGGCTCCGCTGGAACCTGCCAGCGAAACGCTGCTGGGGCAACAAACACCTCCAGTCGTGTTTTTGGTTCGCGACGCGGGCATGTCTGGGGTGCCCAGCTGGCAGCGCAGCAGATGACGAGCAAGACGAGCAGATGACGAGCAAGACCGCAGCCGGACGCTCTAGGTGAGCTTTCGGCGGCCACGTCGCCTCTTCAGACTGGCCTGAGCTCTAAAATGCCTATGGCCCTCCTTCCTACCAGCCACGCGCGCCAGGCCACGAAAAGAGAACACGGCCATGTGCACCTTGGTGCATGTGTTAAGAAAGGATTGTAGCCGCCGAGCGACCAACAATGCAGCCGGCATTGCGGCGAGAGCACGCCACGAAGGTTCGCTGTTCATTCTGCGGACCTGCCTGGAGCCACTCGCTCCACTCGTGCGTCGAAGCTGCGTCGAACGTCCGTCGATTTTGTCGAACTTGAGTCGAACCTGAGTCGAACTTGAGTCGAACTGGGGCCGAACTAGAATCGAACTGGGGTCGAACTAGAGTCGAACTAATCTGCTAGGTGGGCCCCAGGGAGGTCCCCAAACCGAGCATCTAGATCTCGAGCCACGGAGGAGGGGTAAAGGGAGGCCCAGCCTCCCTGCGCCGCTCCACGTCGAGGAGCCGGCGCCGGACACGAGAGAGGCTGGGACCCCCCCCCAAGACAAGACGGGCCCCGCGCTCTCCTCTGCCAGAGGCCTCCCAGATTGACGACCTACCAGGCCACCACAGCCCAACCCGAAGACCCGAATCCCGCCCGAATTTCGGGTCGTGGGGGGTACGAGCTTCATATGTGTGTCTTCAATGTTCCCCGACCCCCACCCCCACACCGAAAATGGAGGGCAAATCGGGGCCTTCGGGTTGGGTTGGGGTGGTTTGGTGGGCGGTGATAGATGGGATCCGAGTAGATGGGGTCGAAGGATCGCGCCGCATCGCCAATGCATCGCCGGTGTATCGGCGATGCATCAGCGAATGAACGGCGACGTCGGCGACGCATCGGCGACGTCGGCGTGGGGAAACACGGGCTCCACATCGAGCCGCATCGTCGATGCATCGGCGATGCGGCGCGATCCACCGACCCCAGCAACTCGGACCCCATCTAGGAGGCCTAGGAAGACAAAACGGGCCCCCCGCCCGAAAAAGCCCTCCTCTGCGGGGCAAGGATGCAGCCGGACCCAGGACAGAAGAGAAGAGAATCCCAGGGCTCGACCAAAACAGAGATTTACGTTTTCGTTGTGTGTTCGCTTTCCCTCATTTTGTCTTCATTCCGCCTTCGCAGCAAAACGAAGTCAAAACGAAAACGGTCCACGAAATCGCAAAAACACCGTTCAGGTCGAGCCCTGGAGCATCCAAGAGCACAAGACCCTCCGCGGGCCAAAAGGAGGTGCATTCGAGGGGGTTGCCCTCCCCAAGGATGAACGAGAACGTCCAACAAGAACGAAGAACATGAGGGCACCCTCCCCGAATCGACCTCGATCTTATACATCGGTCCGACTGAACGGGGGGGACTGGCCTTGGGGGAGGGACACGTCGACTTGAAATCGGCGACACATCGCCGGTATAGATCGGCGACACAGGCCCCCGATCGCGAATTCGCGCGTTCCTGGGCGGGTTGGGGTTATCGCGCCCCTGTCGGCGATCAAGGGGCCATTCGGGGGTCGATGCATCCCCCCCTGTGCCTATCCCTCCCGGTCGTTGCCCCTGATTCTCTCATGACGTCGACCCCCAAAGGTCTCGACCAAGTCCCCGGGACTGGTTCTTCATCCCGAGTCGTTTGTTGAGGGTCCCGAGGCCCGGTGAGGGCCCCCAGAGGCTGAAAATACTGGAAAACGTTCCGTCGTGATTCGTCCTGAGTGGTTTCTCGAAGATCCCGAGGCCCAGTGAGGGCTCCCAAAGGCCGAAGCTAGCGAAAAACCTTCCGTCATGAGGGGGTCTCCCTGCCTGGGATGGTCCCCCTGCCTTGGAATCCCTCCTTCGCCCTCTCTGTTACCCTCGTCAAAATTAACCTCAACAGTTGCTGGCACGTCGTTTCAATTTCGGCGCGCCCCTCAATGTCGACACGCCGCCCCTTCAATGTCGGAGCGAGGGCAAAGATAGTCTGACCGAAGTTGACTCGAAAGTTTGACGTCGACCGACATTGGAGGGGCGGCGCATGCAAGTACCCCGCACTCATCGATACTCGGCCCCAGATCTTCCGAAAAGCAGTTCAACCACGTCAGAAATGTTTGAGGTTAATGGGACGCACAGAGACATACTAATACTATATGTCCTCCTTGGAGGTGCGCGTCCGACCCGAACATATAGTATACCAATCTTGTAGTATATCGTTTCCCGAGCGGCGTGGCCAGAAAGCGCCCGCCACGACGCATATACTATAAGAGTTCTCGGTGCGCGCGTCGCCCCTGGGGGGGCGACGCACATATAGTAGAAGTATGGAGGGGTGTTGCCGAGTTAATTTTGACGAGGGTTCTGGGATGGCCTTCCCTCCCCCCTCGCCCGCGCGGCGCCTGCCCGCCCCGGCTCTGGCTGGCGGTCCCGCGCCAGCCGCGCAGCTGCGCCAGCTCCTCGTCCGTGCGGTCCGACAGGTGGTTGAGGCCTGCCCGTGGACTGCATCAGTGAAGGGGAACTGGGGACTGTATATTTTCCTACATATTCTGGGTTTTTCTCTTCCCCCCCACTTCCCATATTTTCCCATATTTTCTGGGAATCGCCAATGAATTGTGTCTGTGTGTTTTTTCCCCTCCTGAATCAGGGCTGGAGCTGAACAGTGCTTTCGTGCTCGTGTTGTTCTCGTTCTCCTCCGCTCTGTCTTCCTTCTGTCTGCTTTCTTCGCTGTTCGTCGCTCTGCCCTTTTTGGGGATGGACAGAACCCCCTCTAGCAAAACGTGGTTTAGTGCAAACGACCTCGGGCCCGGACCTGGCGGGCGCAGGCCTGGAAAATGACGGCCGCGGCGCCCCCTCGAGAACCGAAAGCGGTCGATTCACTAATCGACGTGTCAGGGTGGGGGTTCTGTCCACCCCCGATGTTCGTCGTTCTGCCCTTCCGTTCTGACGCAAACGGCCCACGCACTCGCCAAAATTCCGCTTGGCTCGAGCCCTGGGCCGCAGGGGCCGCAGGCCCGCGTTGGCGTCGCGCAAGGCCTACGTTGGCGGCGCCCACGCCGGCCGCAGACCTCCTCCTCCTCCTCCTCCTCCTCCTCCTCCTCCACCATATCCTCCTCCTCCTCCACCATATCCTCCTCCTCCTCCTCCACCATATCCTCCTCCTCTTCCTCCTCATCCTCATCCTCCTTCTCCTCCTCCTCCTCCTCCTCCTCCTCCTCCTCCTGCCCTACTCTCCTCCTCATGCACCTCATCCGCATGCATCTTCCTCCCGGACGCTCTGGCCGCGCCGGCTCGCCGAGCATCGGACCCGAATCGGATCGGGCTGGCCAGTATCGATATCGAGTCGGATTGGTCGGATCGAGATGAACCCTGGAGGTCCCCCCAGTGGTGACGCGCACAAGGGGGTAGGGGGAGGGAGGAAGGCTTCTTAGAAGGAGGCCGATGCTCAGAAGGCGCCGGCCCTACATCTACAGACAAGGCCCGCGCCCTCTAAGAAGCAGGGGTGCTTCTGAGAAGCCTTCCCCCCTCCCCGATTCACCCCCCCCCCCCCCCCTCTGCGCGTGGCCGCCTGGCCCCCGAGAGCCCAACAGTGGCGAAAAAGTCGGCGGTCGAACGCCCCTGTTCGAGCCGCCGGGCGCCCGGGCAGAGGTCCCCGGGGGGGGCCCATGTCCCGGAAGAAAGAGCACGGGGCCGCCAGAGGTCCGGGGCGTCGGGGGGGGGGGGCGCAGAGGTGGGGCAGGGGCAGAGGCGGGGGCGGAGGGAGGCTGCCGGAAGCGGCCCGTGTGCACGAGAGACGTGGAGTGCCGCCGCGCCAATGGCTCTGAAGGCGCCCAAATGGACGACGCCGACACCGAGGCAGACCCCACGGCAAACTCTGCGTCCCGCGCCCCAGCAGACGAAGCCAGCACCGCGGCAAACCTCACGGCGAACCCGCCGCGCCCGAGGCGGCGTTTGCCCTGGTGGCCGCGGCGCCCTCCTCAAGACGCAAGGCCGCGCGTCGGAACAAACGGCGCGACGACAACGTCTTCTTGTTCGGCTTTCGACATTGGGCGGAGAGGGGTGGGGCCGGCTCCGAACCTCTGCTTAATGCTACTGTGTGCAACAGTGCGTCATGTAGGAGTAACTCCACCTGCTTCAAACACTCGCCAAAAACAGCCAAGATCTACTCCATGGGGGGGATGGGGGGTGCGAGGGCCCGCGCCGATCGGCAAAACAATGGATGAGAAAACGATTCGGCGGCGAGCGAGGGGGAGAAGCGAGGAGGAGAAGGCCTTCTCAGAAAGCGGCGGACTTCTCAGAAGCCCTCGCGCCTTCTAAGAAGTGTGCTCTGTGTCTTCGGGGAAGGCTTGGAAGACTTCTCGGGAGGCCCGTGGACTTCCGAGCCTTCTGAGAAGGCCCGCCCCTTCTCGCTTCCCCCCCCCCTCGCTCGCCGCCGATATCCACCTGGGCGTGTTCCGTAAGCCCACGTCAGGCTGACCCAACCCGCTCTGAGAACCCCCGGGGGGAGGAGGGGCGGCGGGAGCGGCCACGGAGCCGTGCGGGAGCACATCCTTCTGAGCGCAGGCCTCCTCTGCACGGAGTGCACAGGAGGGGGGCGTCCACGAGGGTTAGGTCGGGCAGCGGATTTGGGAAGCAGAATGCAGAGATTCCAAGCATGCTCAAACATAATGTTTGAACAAGTCGAAATGATCGTCCCGAGGCTATTCTTGACTGTTTGTGAAGATACCTCCTGTAGAGGGACATGCCCGACTGAAGAAGAGGGAGGGATCGCAGATCATGGCCCGAGGCAGGTGTCTGGCCCAGGGGGGGCCGAGGGGCGCATCGAGGTGGGGAGAGGGGGGCCATAAGATCCGAGGAGGTGCATCATGACCACAGCCACGATTGACGACCGAATAGAGGAGCAGTTCCCTGGGTCGCAAATCATGGGAGTCTTGTATGCCCTCTCGATTCCGTTTTTGAAGTGCACTCACGTCGATTAGAGTGGTGGGATAGCGCCGATGTGGCGTCGATGAGTGTCGATTGGTGTCGCGTCGCAAGAGCTTACAAGATGGTATGGGAGGCCCCCATCAAAGTTCCTTATGTGTGCGACCTGCGATGACAAGGGCTGCCCGATTATCGGGAGCGGCCAACGGGGGGTGGAATGACCAGGAATGGGTGGGTATCACTCACCACCCACAACCACCCCAACCCAACCCGAAGTCCCCAATTTGCCCTCCGTTCCCAGTGGGGGGGGGAGTCGTGGAACACTGAAAAGGCACATGTGGAACCCATGCCGCCCCCCCACCCGAAATTTAAAAGTGTGTCTTCGGGTTGGGTTGGGATGGTTCCCTCTGGTGGCGGGGGTGATGGTGCCTCTAGCGAGGCCCCCAAATAACTCAGCCCCTTCCGTGGGACTGGCCTTTTGGAGTTCCCAAAAGGATGCAACGCGGTGACCTCAGAATCCCCAACGACCTCACCGCACGGTCAGTCACCATAGGGCGTGGGAACCTTGGTAGCCCCAATTGCCCGAGACTTCCTCTGAGAACGACCCAAGTCCAAAAACCGTGCAGTCACCCCGAATCCTCATTAACTCACCACACGGTGTGGTCACCGCACCGTTTGGGAGCCCCGGAGACCGTCATGCCGACCGCCAGAAGCAGAAAGTGACCAAAAGTCGCCCGAGGCGATTTCCTGATAGCGTTTCGCTCGAGGGTTCTCGTGGATGTGGACAACGACCACAGAAGAGTTGCACGAGGAGGACGGGAAGCCCGGGACCGCCTCCCTAGACCGCCCGGTCGGGCAGCCGTTTCGCCTGAGACTTCTTCACAAATGACTCGAGAATCTCGATCTGGTCCAAACGGCTGCGATCCCGTGTGTAAGGTGCACACAGCAGTGCTCTCACCCCTGTCCTGAATGCATCTTCGCTAGGAATACCCACGCGCCGGTCGGAAGAAGTGGGTAAAAACATGAAGCAGGAAGGCGGATAAAGCAGGCTGGGTCCAGGTCCTCCCAGAGAATAATTACCATGTGACGTACCCAACCCATTTGTATCAATGGAAACGAGGAGTTGGCCGAAACTTGCATGGACAATCAACTTGATGTGTAAGCTACTTGGGACACGCGCCTATGGCATGATGCGCAGGAGAACCATACAAGAACGAGGGGCGACAGCTACAGGCTCGAAGAGGACATGGGGAGTCGGGAACGCAGAGCAGGAGAAAAACGTGCGGGAAGCCGAACCATCAGCACGGCAGCAGCAGAGGGAAGGTGACTGCAGGAGGAGAACAAGGACGAAAGCGGCGGGAGAAGAAAGAAAGGTGACTCTTTTTGTCGGTTGACCGTTGAAGGTTTTTGTCGGTTGACCGTTGAAGTGGCAAGAGTAGCTGGCCAACATGCGGTGGGTACCAACTGTGCTGGGCCCCCCAGCAGCCCTCGAAGGTGGCGACAGTTTCACAGATCGCAGCCCCCCAGGGATGGTGAGGTCTAATTTGAGTCTGCGGTGGGTACCCACTGTGCTGGGCCCCTCAGCAGCCCTCGAAAGTGGCGACAGTTTCACAGATCGCAGCCCCCCAGGGATGGCGAGGTCGAATCTGCGACTGTGCTGGGCCCCTCAGCAGCCCTCGAAAGTGGCGACAGTTTCACAGATCGCAGCCCCCCAGGGATGGCGAGGTCTAATTTGAATCTGCGGTGGTACCCACTGTGCTGGGCCCCCCAGCAGGCCTCGAAAGTGGCGACAGTTTCACAGATCGCAGCCCCCCAGGGATGGCGAGGTCTAATTTGAATCTGCGGTGAGCGTCACTGTGCTGGGCCCCCCAGCAGGCCTCGAAAGTGGCGACAGTTTCACAGATCGCAGCCCCCCAGGGATGGCGAGGTCTAATTTGAATCTGCGTGAGTACCCACTGTGCTGGGCCCCCCAGCAGGCCTCGAAAGTGGCGACAGTTTCACAGATCGCAGCCCCCCAGGGATGGCGAGGTCTAATTTGAATCTGCGGTGAGTACCCACTGTGCTGGGCCCCCCAGCAGGCCTCGAAAGTGGCGACAGTTTCACAGATCGCAGCCCCCCAGGGATGGCGAGGTCTATTTGAATCTGCGTGAGTACCCACTGTGCTGGGCCCCCCAGCAGGCCTCGAAAGTGGCGACAGTTTCACAGATCGCAGCCCCCCAGGGATGGCGAGGTCTAATTTGAATCTGCGGTGAGTACCCACTGTGCTGGGCCCCCAGCAGGCTCGAAAGTGGCGACAGTTTCACAGATCGCAGCCCCCCAGGCGATGGCGAGGTCTAATTTGAAAAGTTTCGCGACAGGATCGCAGCCCCCCAGGGATGGCGAGGTCTAATTTGAATCTGCGACCCACTGTGCTGGGCCCCCCAGCAGGCCTCGAAAGTGGCGACAGTTTCACAGATCGCAGCCCCCCAGGGATGGCGAGGTCTAATTTGAATCTGCCGTGGTACCCACTGTGCTGGGCCCCCCAGCAGGCCTCGAAAGTGGCGACAGTTTCACAGATCGCAGCCCCCCAGAG